TGTCTCAAAAATTAATGTGATTATATGGGAGTTGTGATTATATAGGAGGTGATTATAGAGGAGGAAGACTGTATTATTTATTTAAATAAAAATTAAATTAATAAATAAATACAGTAATTATAAAATGCACCTATGATGCTCAATACTAACAGTTACACAAAATATTTATAATTCATTATTTGTAGTATGCAGAATGTTACATAATATTTGCATAATTTTTACGTGCTATGATCAATCAATTGATGTTTATTAAATATTCGATCCTTTTTTTTTTTACTTATTTTAGACCTTTACTCAATTTAACTCATTTTAGCTTTGATTTTTACTCATTTTAGCTTAGATTTTTATTCGCTTTGACTTTTCACTATATTGCTTTTTTTTTACCCTTTCTTTTCGCAGTATTTTTTTCACTCTGTCATTTTGCTTTGTTCTCTTTTTCGCTTTTATTGCTCTCTACTTTGTATCCCATTTCGTTTTCTACTTTTTATCTTCTTGACTTGCTCCACTTTTCGCTTGTGCTGCCTTTTATTGTTGCGCTTGCCTATAGGTCGCCTTTTTCTTCATGTCTCTTATTCTGAATAAAAGTTTCACTTCTAGTGGTGTTTTGTCTTTTTTTTTTTGCCATTTACATATAGTTCACATTTTCTCTTCATGTAGCATTGTACTTTTTTTTTTTTAGTCGCACTTTTTTCTTTGCATCACCTTATTTATTTTTTAGGTTGCATTTTCTTTCTAGTCATGTTTTCTTTTCATGTTGCACCTTTCCTGTGCCATATTATCTTCAGATTGCTATTCTTTTGTGTTGCCTTACGTTGTCGGCCTTTTCTTTCTAGCTATAAGTTATTTACAATCAAATATGAATCACTCGCTCTTTTTTGATATCAACGATAATAATAATGTTTTTATAGTGATAACGAGTCTTCTACGACTTCTATGGAATTTGACACACAATGCAATAATAGAGAGAAGGTGACTGAAGATAATGTGTCAGATTCGAAGAGCGAAAATGAAGAAAATACAGAATCAGCATATTAGTTAGTTGAGACTAAAGAGATTGAGTTGGATTTGGAAAGTGAAAATGAAGAAGATACGGAATCTACATTTACGTTAGGTGAAAATAAAATATTTGAATTTTGAAAAGCTGCTGATAAGTAAGTGTATGTAAAAAAATCAATTTAAATCCGTGTTAGTTTTTTTTTTTTTTTTTTAATTAGAAATTGAGTTTTTATCTTTTAAAATATTTGATTTTAGGTGGTTTGAGCTTTATAGCAAAGTGAATGGGTTTGCATTTTGTGTAACTCATAGTGATATTGACAAAGATGATCAGCAGCCATGGCGTCGCATATATTCATGTACGAAAGGACAAAAATATGTGAAACAAAAAGAGCACATGTGCTAGATGAAAGAAATAAAGGGCATAAAGCAGCTGGTTGTTCCTATCATATAAATGTATATCGTTAGAAGAAGAATAATATAATACAAATTTCAAGTATTGTTGGTACGCATGATCATGAAATGGTTAAAAATATTACCATAGCTGAACCAAGATACCCGTGGTTAACAGAAGACATGCAAAATGATGTTTGATTACTTGCATCTTGCAGTGTATGAGCCGTAGTGATTATTGAGGTTTTGCAACAGAAGTATCCTGGGAAATATATTCATGCTCGTAATGTGTATAACTTGATACAAATGATTCGGTATAAGAAACGTGTAGCAGGTGATGCAGGTAGTACATATCTGGAGTTAATTAAAAAGCAACATGATGAACCCGGTTATTACGTTGATGCTAAGTTTGAATAGACAGACAATCACTTCGTTGGTCTTTTCTGGATGCAACCAAGTCAGATTCAATTGTGGGACAGGTTTCATGATGTGGTTCTTATAGACACTACCTTTAAGACTAATCGTTATTTGATGAAGCTTTGCGTTGTGATAGTAATTGATAATCATAATTGTTCACGTTTAGTAGCAACTGCAGTTATTTCAGATGAGGTGAAAGAGACTTTTTCATGGGTTTTGGAAAATTTAGCTAAAGCATCAAATGGTTTGGCGCCAAAACTATTATTTACAGATGCTGATTGTGGAATGGTGGCCACTATAAATGAAACATTACCAAGTACAAAGCACCATTTTTGCCTTTTTCACATTAGAAAAAATCTTGAAAACCGTTTTCTAAGTAAATATAAAGGAGAGAAGTGGAGAGAATTCTTTAAAACATTCTGTTATATACGAAATAGCCATGTTGAAGAAAATTTGAGGAACGTTAGGCAAACATGTTACAAAAATATCCTGATTCTGCGCCTTATTTGAAGAACCAACTTTATCCTTGTCAAGAGGTATGGGCACTTTGCTTTGTCCATAGATCATTTAATGCAGGTGTTCAAACTATGCAATGGGTCGAATCTTACAATAGCATTATCAAAAAACACTTCAATGGTGCTTCGTCTCTGTTCGAATTAAGTAAAACTATTGATAAATTGCTCATTAAAGAGGGTCATACCAGTGTTTTAATGAAGTCATAGGTGTGTTGCCAGATATTCATAATGAAGACTACTATAGTAGATATTTTAAATTAGTTGACGAATCATGTCAAAGAATTTTGACAATGGCAATTCTTAAGATTCAGCATCACGAAATAAACTATAGCATTCACTATTAAGTACAGTTAGAGGATTTAGGTGATGAACTTGGAAGTCAGACATGTTTTAAGTAAAATGAACTTTTATGTATTATTAGGTGAAAATGAGCTTGTTATTAATAAATAAGCATGGTAATTTTTTTTTATTAGTTGACTGACACTGATGATACATCAGCCGGGATGTTTAGAGATGATATGTTCGATGCATTCATGATTGAATTAGATCAACTAATTGCTAATATAGATCATATACGTATCCGTGAGATTTGGAAAGTTTTGTCAATTGATATGAAAAGCTATCATTTTGTATTATTATATAATGAGGCAACGCATCTTTGCACATATCTAACTCTGATTAATCTTGGTATTGTCTGCAGACATTTTTTTGCAGTAATGTTGTTATCAAAGGTTGCTAGATTTCATATTAGGCTTATAGCACGCAGATGGTATTTAGACAAAGTAGTTTGTAAAGCAAACATTGATATTGCAAGAGAGCCAGCAATATCAACAATATCAACAATATCTAGTGATTAGTTTGAATCATTTGAACATGATCTGCAAATTAATTTCACACATCTTGATAGCATTCATAGTAGTCACGTTTTTACAAATAAAGTTCATAAAGAAATGTCACTTAAGTAGTGATGGGTTAAGGGGTTCGGCATTTTAAAGAAGACACTTGAGTTGGCAATTGCCGCAGGAAGTTATAATGAACTATACGAACTACACCTCAAACTCTCGAAAGAAATGGAGATGGAGCTTACAATAGCAAGCGGTTATAATGTTTTAAATGATGATGCAGTTGAATTTGCAACTAAAATTAACAATCCGGTCAGCATCAAGTCAAAGGGCCGAAAACCCAAAAATGGAAGGGCAATGGCATTTAATGATAGTAGAAATGAAAAAAAATCAAAGACAAAACACATAAGTCAAGTTAATTATAGTGAGATGTCGAATATTAATAAAGATCATTAAAATAAATTGCAAGAAATTACAAACTTAGGAATTGGCAAGTATTTTATTAGGTTATAACTTTAACTTGGATTGGTCTAACTAACAACTAAACATTATAGATCAAGATTATAACGATTATGAAAATATTGAAGAATTTTCATTATCGGTTACAAGACACAATGCTGAAAGCTTAGTTAGAATAGGTAGGTTTAGCTTGATAATACTATTATTTAATATTATATATTGATGAAATATACACAGATTTGAATTGGTTTAACCAACATCTAATATTATAGATCAAAAAGGTGAAAATAGTGGTAAATTTTCATTATCAGTTACAACATACAATTTCGAGGATTTAACTAGGATGGATAATTTTAGAATTATTGATTATATAGGCTATAAGCAGTTTGAATAGTATTATATATTATTTAATATTTTATATTTTGTAGCTGACAAGGACGTTATCATTACTACCCATGATAGCAAGTTTCGCCACTGTGGTGTGGTGTTTGTGGCCAAACAGGGCATAATTCTCACACATGCAATCTGGATCGATTAAACGATTGTAAAAATATTGATGTTGAGAGTTTAACAAGAACAGGTAAAGTTAAGATTATATCATATTATAGTTTGATAATACACACATACAATTAATAATCTGTGCATTATATATGTAGTCGACAAGAACCTTACTATTTATAGTAATAAGTCTCGCCATTGTGGCTCTTGTAGCCAAACTGGTCATAATGCTCGCATATGCAACACAAAAAATTAGTTGTAAGTATTGGTTAATGTCTGACAAACACTACACAATTATTATTTATACATATCGATATGCTATTGTAATTACTTGTCTTCATGAGAAACATAGATTGGGCCAATATAGGATACATAGTATGGTGTGAAGTATATAGAATTTAAATGTGTTCTGAGATTTTTTATTATGTTAGAGTAAGAAGGTTTGAGTTAATGGCTTTATTTTTAAGTTTACTATTGCTTTACTATTTACTATTTATGTTGCGCTTAAGGCATTAGCGTGCCTTGAAAATCACTGATAAGTCTGGACATTTTACTGAAGCAAAAAATTTTTTGAATTTAACTAAAAAATCAGTAAAGTGTCCAAACTTAACTATACAGATTAATATTTTAATTGTGCTAAAATCTTGCAGCTGTCTTTTACGATACGATAAAGTAAAAATAGTGGATGTGATAGAATTATAAGTAGAACACTTAAAGATAATCATGTATTAAATCGTAGATAGTTGACTTTAGAGATATTATCAGCTTATCCAGTTATAATAGATAAGTTTACGAACCAGATCAAGCTGATAATATCTTTATTTACTAATAAAAATTGTGAGTTATTCAGAGCGGTCTTCAATGTACTGTTGCTCTCCGCATCCCGATAGGGTGGGAAATTTATCCTTATGAGTTAACTGAAATGGATCGTCTATTAACTGCAACTTGATAGA